TTTAGAAATAGATCCTGTCACTCTGAACACTAGGAAACGCCTTGTAACTGTTACTTCCTTCCATACATTGACTATGGTGACAGTATTTACATGAATGCTCGTGCAAGCACCCTGCACATGTTGGATGCTGTCTATCACCATGTGTTAAGATTCATAACTGGCTGTAACTACCGTACGCATTTTTTTTCTTCATTTATCCTTTATTTATACAAGTAGTCTCATTGAGCCATGAGAACTCATTTTCAAGAGAGACCTGTTTAGGGAGCAGATGGTGGGGGTTAAGGGTCTTGCTCAGGGGCCCAGAGTGGGGCGAATGAGGGTGGAGGCAGGTGTGGGTGTTTCACCTTTTCCACCCACATTTTGATGTTGACGGTACCGGGAGTTGAACCTGCGACTTTCGGATCACAGGTCCATCTTCTAACCTCTGCGCCACCACCCATCACTGCACCCTGTATTCACTGGTTAACTGGTCATCATTAACTTCACACAGACTCTCACACTGGTACATTTTCATCTTTAAATCACACCTTGGTCTGCTGTCTTCATACATCTCCTCCTGCATGTCACGTCGTCAGTGCAGTTACAGCGTGCGCTCTCAAGACATAATTACCTGCAGCGTCCCCTCAGTGCGGACTGGTCTCCTGTAACCAGGAACACCTTGCAAAAAGATCTGAAGCTGTCGACTTTGACATGATTTTAAACAAATGTTAAGTTCAATGCAAAAATCAATGCAGACATTTTCTGTTTTTAGTATTTTACCTCGTTTCATACTGTAGCTTGATTTTATTTTGTTTTATATCACTACTTTCATTTGCTTTTTTAAAATATGCATTTTATGGCTGTTTATTATTGTCTTGTTTATCTAAAACAGGTCTCTCTTGAAAATGAGTCCTCGTGACTCAATGAGACTAACCTGTACAAATTAAGGTTGAATGAATGCTGAGCTCCAAATGAATGCTGATATTTGATAGAGCAGAAAACTAGCTGTTGAAGCTAAATGAAGCTAAACGCTAAGAGCTAAAAGTAGCAAAAGGCTAGTTAAAGATAAAAGCAGCAAAATATTACTCAGAGTAGCAAAGACTAGCTGGACGGTTAACTAAAATCTAAAGTAACAAAGATTTACTTAGCTAAGAGCTAAAGATGGGCTAGCTAAAAAAATGCAAATAGTAAGCCAAAAGCTAAAGTAGCAAACAGTTTAAATGAAACAAAACAATAACTAATCAAAATGTCAGTTAAAAGCTAAAAGTAGTTAAACTATAACTGGAAGTAGCAAAAAGATAAAAGTTGCAATAGATTGGCTTAAAGCTTAAATTAGAAAAAGGCTATTTAAAAGATATAAATAGTGGAACAGTAGCTAAAAGTGGGAAATGGCCAACAAAAAGTTACAGGTAGCATAATCTAAAAGTAGAATAAGACAAAAATAGAGTCAGTTTGTTGAAGAAGATATCAAAGAGAAAGTTTTTGAAGGACTTTCCAGAAACCTCAATGGAAGACAAGCATGAAACTTGATGTCCAAAAGGCATTGTAATAAAATTAAGCCAATATTTAAACTTTTTTTTTTAGCATCTCATGGTGCATAACAGTATTTGAGATCAAGTCGTTGATTCAACCTTTATTTAGACAGGTAAATCCCAGTCATACTGTACGTGTTGACGGTTAAAATTATCACTAAACACAAGTGACATCTGTTCACTATCAGCTGATCACTGATCAACTTCCTCAAACTCTCAGCTGCACTTAAAATAAAAACCACACCAGGACTTTTTTTTTCGCTAACGTCTTCACCCATCCAAAATAGAATGACTATTTTTACTGCTGAAGGACACAAAATAATGAGAACTGAAACAACGATGGTTGTCTTCAACCAAACTGAAAAGTGTTTAAATAAAGTGGCATCCACTTATTATTTAATACAACACGACACAAAGCAATCCTAAAAAACTGATTGAAGATGATGCATTATATTAATATTTTATTTTATATAAATATATTATTAAAACCGTTTTATTAAAAAAAATAGTTTCAAGCATTAAAAAGCTTTCGCAGAAAAATACAAGGCACAAAACGTTGGCGCTTACAATCTTTGTCTTTTCTTCATATACTGTTTGGAATTAATCCAGAGTCTTATTAGGTTCTTATGAAAAGATTCTAACCAATAAAAAACTAACAAATGACTATAAAATAAAATACCTTTTGTTAAATTCAGCACGGGTCGACTGCATCATAAAGCACGCTTAAACTTTTTATCCAACTAAACAGTTTTAACTTGTGGATTTTTTCTTTTGATTTGCATAATCCAGCATAACAAACAATAAGAACATTTAGAAATGTATTCCCTATTTTGCACCACCCATGAATCTTGCCCTTAGGCTACAGTAGAGGAGAAAATTTAAGTTGGACATCACAAAACAATGAGAACCATACATTTAGCTGATGATGTACAACAATAAGCATACATTTTTCTAAGTTCTGATTTCCTGAGAAGTCCATTATGGTGATAATAAATTTAAAAAATATTAGAGCATTCATTGGTCTGTATTGGTATGTCAGAGAATATACGATAAATAAAGCTTCTGGCCAGTGATTAGCGCATTATGAGACAGTGATGGAGATAAATAAACTCCTAAAACTTCAGAGCACTTCATATCTGCAGTATTTTTTTTTCTTGTTCGGATTATAGAAACATGTTTCCTATAATGAATGTATATTCCTCACATTTCTCACTTCATGCAAAATGCTTTTTCTGTGTCTGAAAAAAAAAAAGAATTAGTTTTTCCCCATAATGGAAACAACATCAAATGAAGCATCCCTAAACTCACACAGAACTTTAAATAAATGTCTGAGATAAAAAAAATTAAAAAAAAGTATTGCAATACTACTGTCATAGTAACCTGAACCACTGAGTTCAATTTCAAGTTTTGTTAAGTCAACACATATACAAAGACACACAAGCCAAAAACTAGTGCTCTGTTGTAAACTCCTCAACAGACGCATTTATAAAAACATTCATGCAAATTGAAAATTCAAAATAATCTCCTATTTAAAGTGAAGAGGCAACATTAAGACTATAAAAACCATTAAAAATAAGAGCTGAATGCATAAAACAAAAGGAACTTCAAATAATGTAAAATAATATACAAAAGGGAAATCAAATATATGTTTACATTCATTGTTGGTTATTATTAATATAAAAACTAGTTTTATTCTAAACTTGAATGCAGATATTTGGGGCTGAGATGCCTTAAAAAGGCCAAGACAACTTCTAATCAATCCTTTGGAACTATTTATTTTCTCACCAGCTGCTGGCAGCAAAAACCGTAAACCAGTGTTACAGTTTATGTTTTGACAAAAAGTCAGTCCTTAAAAATATAAAGCAAATCAAAGAAATAAAACCCAGACTGATACAACAGTAGGGCCGATATTTTAGGCCGACATAGCCATTTGGAGACAAATCAATATCAGTGATAATTGGCCCATTATGCGCTGATATAAACACTTCTAAGTTTCACCCCTAAATTGATGAGAACCAGCCGTGTCCTTACTTGCAAAAGGTATAATTGTACAATGTACCCAGCAGAGGGCGGACTACTTTCAAGTCATGGCCATGCTGCATACTTCAGCACATTCAAGCAGGCAACAACTAAATACTGTGTTGCATATTTTGCTGAACAGAGCATGATAGGTTTATTGTTAATGATCTGAAAAAAAACCCCCAAAAAACAACAATAATAAATTCTCTTCAATCCTCCAACCTGCTCGTCATTAGCTACGTGCATCTCAAGTTAGCAAGCTAACGTTGAACTTAGCATAGGCTATTGCCTTGTAAAATTTTAGCAGAAATCTAATGTAGCGGTATATATATATATATATATATATATATATATATATATATATATATCAGTGTTAGTAAATTATCTTTGTCGTCTTAAATGAAATGCATTGTTTGTTTGAAATCTCTGCAACAAAAAAAAAAAAAGCCAAACACTGCCGCAGTCAATACTAATTAAGCCTTCACCATACCGTATGCACACAGTTAGTCACGTATTATACGTGACTAACTGTGTAACAATGAACCGAGATGGGTGTTTCTTTGTTGAAATTATATTTATGAAACGCACTCGATAACTTTACGGTGAATAGTGGAGGTTAGAATATGTGAACGCACGTTAGGAAGACGATTTCAAGACTTCAAGTGTTAAAATGTTTAAAAGTAGCTGCTTACTTAGATTATTTGGGGGTGGACAGAGCTAAAATATTTTCAGCCAATACATCGGTTACCCCCCCCCCCCCCCTCCAATCAGTATTGGTGATAGTCAAAATTTCCATATCAGTCAGCCTCTAATTAAAACAGCCAAATAAAATACTGACTACCCAATAAAACCACTCACATTGCATTATTTCCATTTAAAATGTCACATTCATTCGTATATTTATATAAACATGACTGGCAAAGTCCATCCATCCATCCATCCATTATCTTTACCCGTTTATTCCATTTTGGGTCACGGGGGTCGCTGGTGCCCATGTCCAGCAATCACTGTGCGAGGGGCGGGGTTACACCCTGGACAGGTCGCAGGTCCATCACAGGGCCACATAGAGACAAACGAGACAAACAACCATTCACTCTCTCACTCACACCTAGGGACAATTTAGAGTTACCAATCAGCCTAACATGCATGTTTTTGGTCTGTGGGAGGAAACCGGAGTACCCGGAGAAAACCCACGCATGCACGGAGAGAACATGCAAACTCCACCCAGAAGGCACCTGGACCGGGGTTTGAACCAGGGACCTGTTCGCTGAGAGGTAGCAGCTCTACCAGTTGCGCCACCGTGCTGCCCACTGGCAAAGTCAATCATTTGAAATGCAAGGTTGAACTTTCAAACAAGTTTCTTTAGCAGCAGAGAAAATGATTCCTAACCTCTCAGCTGGGATGCTTTTCAAACAAACACCAGCCTAAATTGTTTAAGACATCAGTTAAACTCAAAGCTGCTGAACTGCCTCAGGCTGTTTCGTTTCTTTGTTCCTTGCTAGCCATCTCTGGCTTGTTGGCGGAGCTTTCTGCTTCACTTGCATGAACCCGTTTGTGTTTGTTCAGTTTTGACCAGCTGGAGAACTGGTCCTCACAGACAGCGCACTTATAAGGCTTTTCGCCTGTATGCATCCTAATGTGACCCTTCAAGTCGGTTTTGTGACCAAAGTTTTTGTCGCACACCGTGCACTTGTACGGCTTCTCGCCCGTGTGTGTCCTGGTGTGCCTTTTTAAAGTCGTCCTGGTGGCAAACTTCCTCTTGCAATAGGTGCACTTGAAGGGCTTCTCCCCCGTGTGCACTCGCAGGTGGTTTTTAAAAGCGGAGGAATCGGCAAACTCTTTGGTGCAGTCTTTGCAGGTGTAGGGCTTCTCGCCTGTGTGAATCCTCGTGTGCTTCTTCCTATTCACACCCGAGCTGAAGCTTTTCCCGCACGTGTTGCATTTGTAGGGCTTTTCGCCCGTGTGGACCCGAGCGTGCAGGTCGAGGTTGTAGCGCCGGTTGAATCCGTTTCCGCAGATGTCGCATTTGAAAGGCTTCTCCACGCAGTGGATCACTGAATGCTTATTCAGATCCCAGCTCTCCCTGAACATTTTCCCACAAGTGTTGCATTTGAAGGTCTTCTCGACCGTGTGGGATTTCATGTGAAATTTGTAATTCTTGAAATTGGACATTACTTTGCCACACGTGTCACACTTGTATGGGTTTTCCCGTTCCTCAGCACTGTTGCCTGAAGTGTCATCACGCTGATAACTCGATGGCTCAGGATTTTCATCTGACGCTGGGCTGTCTTTGCTGCATTTCTCAGGCTTCTTTTCTTCATTACTTGTTGTGGACGTGGAACGTTCACCTTTAGGTATCTTCTTTGGTGCCGAGTCAGTACTTTGACCCTCATTTTGCCTCTTGAGTGATGTTCCTTGTTTGCTTCTTGAAGGGGCTTTCCTTTTTGAGGACGACTCTTTGTTTTTACGTGACGTTTTGCTTCGATCACTTGATTTATGCTTTGATTTAGAACTTGAAGCCTTTTTCCTATCACGAAGTCTCCTAATGGGTGTTTCTGTGCTTGCCATTGTTTCCTTCTTAACATTCTCATGCTGTCTTGACTCATTGCTTCTAGCTGAAGTTGCGCTCCCATCCCTAAGTTTCTTGTCTTGTGCTGGTTTTGAACTGGAGGGTGATGTTGCTCCCTCCTCTACAGGGGCCTCATCTGAACTTTCAGTAGATGGTTCCAAAGTTGCATCACTTGGATCATCACCACTTGTACGGGCTGAATCCACGTTGAATCCTTTGCTGTCATCACTGCATCGCTTGCGTGACCTCAATTTCGGCTTTGTTTCCGTTGCTGGATAAGAACATTTTTTAGATCTTTTCTCATTTTTAGGTTTAAGTTCAGTCTTTTTAGATGACGTTGCAGTAACTTTGCTAGATACTTTGCTTGTTATTAAATCTGCACTCGCAGCAGATGATGTATGCTTATCATCACTTCTCTCATGTGGCATATGTGCGGCGCTTTCAGTAGAAGTTGGTTCTTCATCCCAGGTTTTCTCAATAGATGTTGGCTCGCCACATGTCTGAGCGCTTTTCTCAGTTTGAGTTGCCTCCAAACTTTGAGTTAACTCATGTTTCCCATCTTGACTTGTGTTGTTTGTTGTTGCACTTGAAGCTGACCCTGGACTCCCAGCTTGAATTTTCTCAGATTGGGTTGGCTCAGCACTTCTAGTTAAGGTTGATTTATCATCTTGAATATTCTCATTTCCTTCAGAAGTTGACGCAGTAGCACCAGCCGGAGTTTTATTATCACTTCTATGCATCGTGTTTTGTTCTTGCTCGTCATTTGCAGTTGATGCTGTGGTCTCGATCTGTGCTGGTTCATTACTGCAGTCTAAATTTGTGTTGTTGGTGTTCCTTTTCTCCAACTGCGTTGGCTCTGTGATGCTGGCCGGTGTTGGATTTGAATCCTCACAGTTCTCATCTGAAAAGTGTTCTGTATTCACTTGTGACGCTGTGTTCTCGTCATTTATTTGATCTGGCATTTCATCAGAACATCCAGCAAAAAGTGTGTTTTCTGCTGATGTTTCCTCAGGTCTCAGAGCAGCATGCTTTTCATTTATGGATACCTCAATATGTCCGATTACACCTTCATTGTCATCGGCTGCGTTGTGCTGATTTTCAGCTTCGCAGGAGTTTTCCTGGTCACTGTGTGCTGCTGAGACTGCAGACATCTCCACGTCAGATTCAGGTTCTCCATCTTTGTTTGAAATGTGAGATGGAGGATCTTTATTTGCCGAACTCTGCTGCTCTGGGTCCAAAAGCTGAGCGTGGTTAGTGGAGACATTCTGATCACAGGTCGCCTGACGTTGCTGTGGCTGCTGCAGTTGTTCCTCGCTGATGCACATTTCCTCATGTTCATCTTTAATCTTTGCAATATCTGGCACAAATTCAGAGCCTGCTTCATTGTTACTGTGCTGGTTCAGCTGAGACTTTCCTTCACTTAGAGATATTTCTGAAGAGAAAGACAAAAACAAGGAATGACAATGTTTGCGCTAATATGTCATAGTCAAGAAAACGAACGTTACACAAAAATTAAGCAAATTTGTTGATTAAGAAATAATCTTCTATGTTTATATTTTTATCTCATCAGGCTCTTATCCAAGGACTGAAAGTGTTAACAGCCATAAATGTATTATTCTAATGTCCAAGGTAAAATAAAGTAATACATTTGGATTGTTGCTGAGCTAAATTAATACCAGAGTTACTTTGAAGACAAATGGTTTTCTCTTTATATTTTAATAAAAAGGGATTCTGTATAATTTTATGTGTGATTTGATTTGTTTATTATCTAACACAGCAGTCCTCAACCGTTTCTGCATCACAAAACAGCTTCATACAGGACAGCTTTCCCATACTAGAGGGAAAAAGATGTTCTCTGGCAAAGTTGGTCTTTTTCTCGATGGTAGGTTTGCTTGTACGTACAGTATGTGAAAAATAACTGCCACTGAGCCCAGCACAAGAAAGAAGCATGAACAGAAGTAGTTACTTTTCAAAATAAAATATCCCTCAAACCAGTATAAAAAAATTTAATATAGATTTTTTTCAAGTTTTAATTATTTCTGTGTGTCCCAGTTTTAATCAATCCACAGTTCATAACATGGTTGAGAACCCCTGCTAAGATAAATATATTTTTGTTGTTTAATCATTTAAATCCATTTAAGTAAAACCATGTTTCATTCAATCTTCTTCTTTTTCTTTTGGCTTTTATCCTCCTCCATCTCACTCTGTCCTCTGCATCCTCTGTTTTCTGGACAGTTGACCCCAAGTACTTAAAGTCCTGCAACTTTGTGACCTCTACAGCCATTTCCATTATCTTGGTAAAATCCACCACCATCTGTCCTTCCTGGTTTCTTTCCTTGACACCAAACCTACCCATCACTTCCTCATCCCCTCTGTTTCCTTCACCAACATGTCCATTCAGGTCTGCTCCGATCACCACTCTCTCCTCTTTGGGAATACTCTCTATCACTTCATCTGCTGTAGTTCCTTCCAAAACATATATTTCTCCTCATCATTACATAGCCACTGACAACATATAATATCAGACCTTCTTCTACTTCTTCCTTCAGACACATCACCCTATCTGACACCCTTTTCACCTCTACTACATTCTTTCCTAACTCCTCCTTCACGACCACCCCTACTCAATTTCTCTTTTTATCCACACCATGGTAAAACAGTTTGAACCCTGCTCCAATGCTGTGAACCTTGCTGCCCTCCCACTTGGTCACTTGGACACATCTACCTTCCTTCTCTGCATCATGTCAGCCAGTTCTCTACCTTTGCCTGTCATTGTCCCCACATTTAGAGTTGCCACCCTCACTCGTCCATTCTTGACTTTTCTCTTCTCCCTCTGTCTCCCGACACTTTTCCCTCCTCGTGGTCTTCAACATTCAGTCATATTGAATGCTTTGTTTTATCATTAGATGGTCCCTCATTAGAAAATGTTAAGAGTCATAATTAATTTATAATAAAGGCAAAAAATTATATCATTCAATTGATACTAAAATCTTAATTTTATTTACATGGTTTGTTTATTAATCTGGTTTTATGAAGTATTAGTTGAATACAATCATTTTTTTAACTAAAACAAAGATAGGTTTTGGTCTCTTTTGCCATTATTATCAGATATATTCTTTTTAGTTCATTCTTAAATGTGCAGAAAATGTATCATGTAAGTGTACATTAACAAATGTTCAAATCTACTCATGTAATAACTTCTTTTTTACTTTTAGGAAGGCAGAGACAACTCAAAATGCTCCTCAAAAAGAAAAAAGTGTAAAACGAGTCATTCACATGTGAGCTGTCTTTTAGTTCGTGTTTTATGACGTAAATACAAAAATAACAAGTATCACAGAAGTGTCATCTTGTTTGTACTAAATCCACCGATTCCTAAATGTCTAAATTTGTCAAAAACAACAGACTGTGGTGAGACTAAGACCATGATATTAAACGCTCGTGAATTAATAGAAAAACCTAATGAAACAACATATAAACACTTTATTTCAATATGGGGCGTTGTGCCCCGTTGCTTCGCGTTTGAAGTGTTGATTAATGAGCAACTTCCGCATTCCGCACATACTTCCTTCTGCACAGCTGCTTGTGCAAATTAACATGTGCAAGATTTTATTTTATTTTATTGCATTAGCTCCACAAAGAAACATTACACTTAATGCAAAGTTTTTTGTTTTTTTTTTCTCAAGTGCCCTAAGTTTTATTTAGGAATCATTGACGTCACACCTGTCAAACTGACTGCGGTGTCCGGGAGCTGCTAAAACCTGAACAGGAAATGTGATTATTAATCAGTTAACAGAAAGTTTGGTGTTCTTTGTTTGCTATGAACACGTCAACTAACCTGTCTGTAACTTTGTTTCATGTGAGAACACTTTATCCAACAGTCTGCGCTGGCGGGCGATCTCTGCCTCGTAATCTTCCACTCTCTTTTCAAAGGCTCCCAATATTTCCTGCGCAGCCGCAGTTAATCTATCGCAGACGAAATTACGCATAATATGAACGGGATACATTTTTGAAAATGGCATGCAACTAATAAAAAAAAAAATTATAATAATAATAAAAAAAAAAAAGAAAACTCGTCGACCTGACCACACTTGCTTCGCACTTGATAGCTTGCTTCCGCATGAGGGGGCAGCATTTACAAATAATAATAATAAATAAATAAAAAATTAAAGAGCATTTGCTGCCCCCTAGCGTTCTGATATTGGCATGGCACAGAACTTTCCTGTCTTTTTCGAGTATAGTTTAAATATGGCATCAAATATTAAAAATATTGAAGGTGCAACAAGATAGATTTACATGTGTTTTTTTTTTTTTAATGTAGAAAGTATGAATAATCAGAAAAACTGTGATAAAATCAAGACAAATCACTTCAGACTTCAGGTTTATTTAGGCACTGCCACTCTCCTAAAACAAGACTTGATGTTTGTAGTGTGTGTTGTTAAATATAGAGTATCCATCCATTATCTTTATCCTTTTCAGGTCACAGGGGTCGCTGGTGCCCATATCTAGCAGTCTGTGCGAGAGGCGGGCTGCATCCCGGTCTCCAGTCCATCACAAGGCCACATGGAGACAACCAACCATGCACATGCTGACGTACACCTAAGGACGATCTTTAGCCAACCATCAGCCTAACATGCATGTTTTTGGTATGTGGGAGAAAACTGGACTACAGTACTCGGAGAAATCCCACGCATGCACGGAGAACATGCAAACTCCACCCAGAAAGGCCTCTGGCTGGGAACTGATCCAGCGACCTTCTCGCTGAGAGGCAACAGCTCTACCAACTGAGCCACCATGCCGCCTAAATATAGATGAATCTTGAAATTGTGAATATTAACCTTTCATTGTCTCCCACTTCACCAAATACACTATTTATCACATTATTGGCACGTTTGTGTTACCTTTAAAGCACCAAATAGCACATCAGCCAATAACTGGATTTAACTAGTTCAAAAACATGAATGGTTGTTTGTCTCATTTCTCTCTCTGTGTCCCTGCATGGACTTGCAACCTGTCCAGGATGTACGCCGCCTCTCGCACAGTGACTGCTGGAAATGAGACACCAGCTCACCCACAACCTGAGAAGTAAAAGAGGGTTAAAAAAAAGAATGGATGGATGGTTACAAAACATTTAATGTTAGAGTGCAGACAAATAAAACAATTCAGATTACACATTAGATCTGTAAACAAAGGCAATCGGACTTCTTTATTAGTTTTGAAGACGTATCACTTCTCAACTGCGGAGCTTTCTCAGTTCCAACTGAAAAGTGAGGCCCAAAGTTCATGCTCATTAATCCAGGTATAAATCCAACCATGTTCAGTCAGGTCATCTGGACAGTTTCTTTTGTTGCCAAGATGTTTCATCCTTCATCCGAAGGACTTCTTCAGTCTGAGGAGCTCACTAAACCAAACTGAATCCCACAAACTGCTCACTCCCAGAGTGGGGAAAAAAAAAAAACACTGAAACGTGAAGAGTTCAAAGTTTGTAATCTGTAGTGAGCTGTTCAGATTTTAGGGAGAACTCACACACAAATCACTCTCCCTCCTCTCCTTTCTGGGTGTCAATAGCAAAATGTCTTCAAAAACCTAATGGGAAAGGACCAGTTGCCTTTGTTGAAATAAATGACTATGGTATTCTGAAAGCCTTCCTCAGCCTATTCTACATCAAACGTCCTAATACTCCCAATACACATAAAAAAATACGATGAAAGAAAATCCAGCAAATCCCTAAAAATACACACTGATACATAACTAAATATTCTAACTAATCTCGCTTCCCTTCCGTTTATTTATTAAGATAAATTTCAACTCCATTGTTGGAAATGAAGCACAGCAAATTCAGTCACTTCCTCTCATCTTCATATTTTTGTATTCTGTGTTTTTGCACAGTAATAAGCTAAATTACATAAAGTCCAAATAACATACAGAATATCTTGACGTTGTCCAAAGTACTTTAACACATTTACAGTATAACAAGATGTCCATGTAAGCTGCAAACTTTCCAGAATCTGCTGCGTTCCGTCTCAGGCATTGTTTCGTAAATGAGATGTTCCGGTTAAAGAAGCCACGTTAAGTTTTTAATGGTTTCCATTTTCTTCAGTTTATCGGCATCATCAGAGCTTCAAGTCCACACGGAAAGAACAAACGTGCCACAGATGAGACTGATCCTAAAGTCTGTTTGTCATTTTTCTCGCTGGATATTTGTCGACTGAATCTTGTTGCACACTAGCAAATTATCTGGCGTGTGGTTCTTATGTCACCACAGCACTGCAGCAAAAAAAGAGCACATTGAACAAGTTGACAACAGAGGAGAAGCGTACCGTTTGAGGAACAGCACCATGGCGTGGAAACATGTCTGTGAAGTGGGTACTTTTTTTTTACATCCTCAAAATAAAATCATAAAACTATCAAGTGTCTAAAACATCATTTATAGAATTTCAACTAATTCACTTATTTGACAAACTTGCAATAGGTCTAAAGGTTTTTAATTCAAATGATGACAATACAAAGCACTTATAATAATAACAAAAATAATAAAAACAATTCTACTAAATTTTATTATAAGAATGCAAAAAAAGACTAATTTATAAGATCAGAGTTGATCTTGTTTTTCTAAAAAAAAAAAAAAAAAAATTGATTGGTCTATTTAACCCGGGTCACTGACGTACGTGACTCTGCTCTGAGTCTGATCCCACAAACAGTTGGTGCTAACGAACAACCAGTATGGGGGGTTAGCACCTTAGTGGGTAAACTAAAGAAAATGACTTATGGTGCCTTCAAACCTGAACTTGAACCGCTTTCGTTGAAAAAAAATCAATTAGTAAATATATCCTACGTTTGACAAATTACACACAAATTCTGATATAAATATTTGTAAGCGCACTTCTCTTTAACATGACATGCACAACGCCGTGTATGTAAATAGGAGATTGTACTGATTATAGTTTGAGACGACAAGAAAAGTTTGAAGGTTTCTGGTTTGCACAGGCAGCAGCATATAACTGGTGCAAAGCAGAAAGCCCAGTTTACTTTGCAACGCAGTGAAAAAGGCAAACAACTTTATCTATCTATAGATTTTCTTTGTGATTTATCAAGGCTGTGGATTTTCACCTAAATACACAAACAACAAAACATTATCTGCATGTACACTTTCAGATTTCTCTTCACACACAGAAAAGTTTGTTTACATGCAAAATAGTCTATTAACACGACCACATTGCTACAAATAAGATCCTATTTAAAGGAGTAGCTATTTAAATTTTACATTCCTCTTCTCCTGGAAATGTTTAGACGGTAACAAAGATGGAGTGTGTGTTAAAAGAGATTAAATATTTTTCCAAGTGAAATGCCACCAGTAGTTTTTTTCCATACAGTTATAGAGCCCCTCATCTGTTACGCTACTTCTGTATTTACATGATAGAAAATGTTTTTCTCAGGTTTAAAGGAAGATTCTCTCCTCTGTAACTTCCAGCGCAGATTTAGGAAAAACACTTAGGTAGGAAATCCCTCCCACATTTCACAATAAGCCTCGTCGTTCGTGTGTCGTTTCATGTGAACCAACAGGCTGGACTGACTTTTCAGGCATTTTCCGCAAACCTTGCAGGAATACGGCCTTTCGCCGGTGTGCGTTCTCACATGACCGTCCAGGATTGATTTCTGATTGAACCTTTTGCCGCAGATTTGACAGGAGTACGGCCTCTCGCCCGTGTGGATTCTTTTGTGGACGTTCAGTATGGATTTCTGATTGAAGGTTTTGCCGCAGATGTCGCAAGAAAACGGCCTCTCGCCCGTGTGGATTCGCTGATGAACTTGCAGTATTGATTTCTGATTGAACCTCTTCCCACAAATGTGGCAGCAGAATGGTCTGACTCCCGTGTGGATTCGAAAGTGTCTGAGCAGCCTGGATTTAAACTGAAACGTTTTCCCACAAGTATCGCATTTAAATTCACATTTTTTACCCACATATGGATTGAAGTTAGTCTTTAACATGACAGGATTACATGCATTAGTGCTTCCATGTTGTTTTTTCTCTGGTTGCTTGCCTCCTCTGAACTCTGATGCATCTACAGCCTGTTCCTCCGCTGCACTCTGACATTCAAAAGGATTCTTAGTGAGAGCTTGCGCTACATCCTGGTCACTTATGTTGTATGGGAGAGTCGTCATAAATGCATCAGCTTCCTGTTTTAGTACGACCTGCACTTTGTCTGGACTGGTGCAGGCCTCTTCTTCTTCTTCTTTAATTGTAAGAAACTCCAAGTTGTTCTGATCCAAACTGGAGTTCCTCTCATAACTAAACAGTTGCTGCTCAGTGAGAAAATTGTCCTCCTCTAAGAAATCTACTTGTGGTACATCTGGAAAAAAAAACAGCACAAACAATGTAATAAATTTAATCAAATATAATACATTAGTAGGCTTAACATTAGTAAATAATGTGGAATCATTTCTAAATCCCCAAGCTTTCACACACGCCTTACATCAGTATTCTTTTCAGAAATTCTGCACAGTTTAATCTCTTTGCTCCTGACTGGAACACTTTTTATGGACGTTGAATAAATATGTTCGATTGTCTGTAGAGGATTACTATCAAAAGCAGAAACTAATTAACAAATTAAGCTAAATTGTACTGGATTTGATTTGAAGTGGACTCATCTACTTTATGTTTTTCTGTAGTGCTTCAATATGTTTGTTATACTGTAATAATAATGGAAAAAAACTGAACAAACTTCTTGTTGTTGATTTTTTTTCTTCTTTTTTTGCATGTTTTTCTGGTTTGTTGAACATTACCAAGAGCTTAATATAAAGACTGAAATGTCAAAATTAAGAATACATATTTACAAGAATATTTTTTAAATCTTTAGTTCAACTGTGGGCAGCAGTGAATCAGTTGGTACGGCTGTTCCTGACCAGGAAGAAATGAATGGATGGATTGATGAATCAATCATTTATTCCCACATATACGATTGCTTTTGCATATAATTCATAAAGAATATTGTTCTCACCTGTGTGCCAAATGACATGAGAGTCCAGTTTAGATTTCTGATTGAATCTTCTTCCACAGATGTCACAGGAATATGGCCTCTCAATTGAGTGGATCCTTTTATGAACGTTCAGAATTGACTTCTGATTGAATCTTTTTCCACATAGGTCACAAGAATACGGCCTCTCGCCTGTGTGGATTCGTTGATGGACTTTCAATATGGATGTCTGGTTAAATCTTTTGCCACAGATGTGGCAACAATAAGGCTTGATTCCTGTGTGGATCCACTGGTGTCGAATCAGTTTGGATTTGTACGGAAATGCTTTCCCACAGGTGTCACAAAAAAATTCACACTTCTTACCTGAGCGAGTATAAGTGGGATTCCTTAACATGAAAAAATTATGCTGCTCATTCATTCTGCGAAGTCTCCTCCGGTATTTTGTCCCTACAGATCCAGCTGTTATTGATCCTGCCTGCTTGCCTTCATTGTAATCTTGGTTCTCAGCTGAATGAGAATACTGAGAGATGCACTGATCCTCAGTATTGTGTTCTGGTAAAGTAGAACTTTTAATGGACACATTGTCTATGGGCTCCTCTTCTACAGCCTTCTGAGGTTTGGCAGGATTATGGCAGACAGTTTGAGCTACACTCTTGTCACCTTCATCACAAGTAAAACTTGTAGACAGAGTTTTATTTTCCTCTTTGAAGACAAGCTGTTCTTTGTCATGACTGATGCAGAGTTCTTCGTGTTTTTCTTCAATTTGTTCAACATTTGAATCATTTTGGTCCAAAGTGAAGTTACTCCCATGTTCACTGAGCTGCTGCTCTGTCTGAACCTTCTTCACCTCAATGAAATGTTGCGGGAGCTCTGAAGAGGAAAAGTAACATAAAAAACAAGTAACCAATATGTCAACTGCAATACAATGAGCATAACTAGAACTTGGGTTTGCAATAAAATATGAAATTCTAAAATTCTGTTGCAAATATAAACTATAATTTTGCTTCTGAATGTGACACTTTCAAAAAGAAGGCAGGCTGTATCCAACAGTAAAAGCAGGTTATCTTGTATTGATTCATGCTAGACTTATGCTTGCAACTCAGATTTCAGTCTTGTGTAGCTTTAAGTTCATTGAAATGTCTATTATGGAAGTAAACATTTCTCTCAGCAAACTTTGGAGAGCACTAGAAGTCTTGAAAGAACTTAAAGCCAGGATCCAGGAAAAACAAAAATGACCAAAACATCTGCGAAAGAAGATTTTGCACATAGAATACAATGAATGTTAATGTCACATTGGAGCTATTGTTGTATTACATATTATTAATTTTACTATTGTTATAATTATTATTAAATGAGAGGAAACAAGTCTACCATTTTCAAAGCACAAATGTAAACATGATTAAAGTCATAATTGATTTGACTATTATAGATGTTTTAAAGATGTACATACTTTGGAAAAAGTGCAGTAGTAGACAAGACATTATTAATTACTATAAATGAGCGTTTCATCTCTCATTTTCTTCGATTATTTAATCAACTTTTGTAGGTGAAATTATATTTGGAGGGTTTTTGTCTTTTTAACACTATCTGGACACGGAAGAACCCCTCATCTTTTTATACAGTTTTAATTGTTGTCGTTTTACCTAACGTTTTTTATAAACACATTCTTCAGTGTTTACCGATAAATAAGGCCTTACGAACCTGCCCTGTGTATCTTTACTTGAGGTTTCCAAACGACACTGAGCAGCCTGCGCTGGCGCTTGATCTCTTTTTCGTAATCAGCGATAGTTTTTTCAAAAACGTTGACTATCTCTTCTGCCGCTGCCGTTAGTCGCTCGTTCACAAACTGCCTTAAACACAGAACTGAAGACATTGTTGCTTCTGTACAAGGGGGAAAATTCCCAACAACAGAGACAACACTAGCCGCTTTTTGTTTACTTCCGCTAAGTGTCGCACTGTATGACGTCCGACAGTAAACGTCTCGTGGGAACGTTTTTCTGCCTTGAATCGTTCCGCTGTCTCTCTCATTGATAGAGCATTCAGATTCTGACAGTGGAATCATTTGTTAAAAATACCTTGCATAGGGGATATAATACAAACAGATAGTATGTCTGTGTATGTTTGTACGTCCTGCTTTTTTTTTTTAAAGATACAACTACGATGGCCGTAAGGTGAAACGTTTCAGCACAACAACACAAAAAAGAAACTGTCCAGATGAACTGACTGAAAATTGTTGGACTACAAAATATTGTTTTAATTTATGATTTGGGGCATCTGTTTTATACCATGCATTCACGTGTTACCCAAAAACGTTCAACAATAAGAAACACTCACACAATAAAATAAAATGTATAGCTGTTTGTGGTTTAATTGATTGGAGCCGAGCACTAAAGTCAAATTAGGTAATTTGAAGAAAGGTGGAGATTATTTTTAAACGGGTGGCGCAGCCATACACCAAGCAGCCAATAGGTGGCAGAAGTGCAACGAAACCCAGTTTTAAAATAACGAAACTAAGACGAAGAAGATCAATAAGCAAACAAGATGGCGAGTTAGTATGCTTTGCGTTCAGAAAATCAAATTTATTCTAAATGCGTAGCTTTAGTTTTAATATTGAATTTGCTTATCTTTAGCACATGTTCAGAATATTACACGGTGTCTAAATGGGTGCGTATTATTGCGCCATTTGTAAACAAACGACCTTCTCCGGCGGGAAGAAACATATTTTTGGGAAAAACCACCAAAGCAGACTCAGAGTTGTTCTTCTGAAATTTACAGAAAAGGTAGGTAAAGTATTAAATAAAACTATTTGTGTGTTACTGCGCATAATTTCAGTGCTGAAAAAGACGACGTGCTAAACTAGATGCTAGGCTAATGTTAGCTGCACATCGTCACCGCTTGTTTTGCTGTCTCCCTCTATTACTGCTTCAATAAAAATAATAATAAAAAATACTACTGCTTCAATAAAAATAATTATAAAAAAAACTACTGCTTCAATAAAAACAATAATAAAAAAATACTACTGCTTCAATATAACAACACATTTGAGGTTTAAGTTGTATTCAGCAAAAAGCTCATTGTGAGATGCTTTAGGACTTCAGTGCTAAATGTTTATTCATAAATACGAATTAGTGCTGTAACATTATTAATATATTAAGTTAAGAACTTTATTGATCCCGCATAAAATTGTTGTGCCAAAGTTTCAATACAAAGGAACATACACAAGGAGTCACACAAGATATAAAAAATAACAGAATATAAAGTAACAGAGAGGTATAAAAAAGACCAACAATTATAGGTCCAATATATAACTATATAATAATATATTTATAGATTATATGTTAAATTTTTAAAGACAAAGCGTTATCAGCAATCTTTTGTATTTATTGTAATAAATATGTCGCACAGAAATGCAAAATACAGCAACAAAAATCAAAGAAATTATACACACAGAATGTTGCAATACTTTATAATCTAAATCTTGTGAATAACATTTTATTATACAAGCACAAATATTAGATTGTTTTAAAAATGACAATGGCATTTTAAAAAAAGCAACATAAAACTTTTTTATTTGTTAAAGGCAATTTTATTTTGTTGGTGGGCTTTTGTATTTTACTGTTGTTGGTCAAGTTTTGTTTAGTAAAACGTGTTTATTTTTGGTAAATTCTTTTTTTAAAACTTTGATATGGTCCAACAAAGTCACTACATGACCTTAATAAATCGTGCTTACTTGTTCTGACAATTGACACAAATATATTAACAGTTAATACCACCTGCACATGTTCATTCATATAGTTTTTTTAATAAACCAGTGCCTTTTATTTTGTTTTACTTATTTCTTTAATCAGTTTATTTTTGTCTCACTTTTGTATTTTGCTGTCACGTGTCCGCGAATGTACAGAATGATTTATATAATCTTAAATCTTTGATTACTCTGTAGAAACAGAAACCAAACTGCTCGCAGTACAAATACATTAAACATCTCATATTTTATTTGTAATAAACAACACATGGGTTATACTGTTGTCCTGTTTATATTAGGAAATGGAACTTTTAAACTGTTCGTGATTGAGTCATTTTCTGTCACGCAGGTGAAAGAAGCACGGCGAACACTTAAAAAACCTCAAATTGAAAAGTTTGATTGCACCCAGCACAAGCAGACATTCTGGTGCTACTGCTGCAGTGCTGAAGTCGAGAAACACGTTACAGATGACAACATGACTGTGATTCATGGCGGCTTAGTAGAACACATGGCCACGTAAGTTTAATATCATCTCTTTCGTTTGATTTAAACAATTGCATCATGCAAAACTTTGTGTTTTTCCTTTTTAGAAGGTTATTCTATTTCAGCTGTCTAAAATGTGTCATTTTCAGTTTATACCCTACAATAAACAAACAATGATTTAGATACACCACTCTTACCCTGCTAACTGTTGAAATGTATTAAATGTGTTGGATTTCAGAAGACAACACAAGAAAAATACTCACAAGTTCTGGTGGGAGAATAAGGCTGACCCCAAGAGTAAAGACAAAGTCCTCATCACAGAGGAGGAAGCTGAAAGGTAGGATCGGTGAACCAAAAGTTGGTAATAATCAAACATCTGTAGAAACGAATTGCTCACTTTAATTGCTGTTTATTTGTGACTAGGTTTAAAGCTGAAGTAGCAAAAGTTTTAGAGTCATTTGTGGAGAAAGAGGATGAACACATTAAACAGGTAAGTTAATTTTATTGTAATTCACATATACTTTAATGGAAGTAAACTAAAAGTGCAAAGTCAAGTGCTACCATGTACATTTGTTGCTGTGATGAGGTGCAAATGGTATTTATTTTTCGTGTTTGTCTCTGTATGGCTGCAGCAAGCTGACGTCATCCGAGCCCAAGAAAAACACCGTCAGGAGGTCTTTCAGTCTCTGTTAGAGGTTTGTTTTCCAAGGATGCAGTGGCAGTATCCATCACTATGACCTTGACTGTTGTTTTTACTGTAAAATGAATCATCCTGGGGTTTTTTCTGTACATCTAAATGAATGATTGTTAAAGTAGCAAAGCAACAACTGCTATAATTTAGACACATTTCTGTTCTTATGTTGTTTTTGTTGTTGTTGTTGTTTTTTTCATTTAATCTTAAGTTCCTTTTTGAAACTATTTATATTTTAACATTAATCACAGCTAAGTAAATTTTATGTTAAATATTAATATACAAGCATCAAAACTGAGTCCTCACACCCCTTGACCATTCTGGATGCAGCTATGGTCAGGGGTTTTGATACAGACGTGTTGATGTCCTCTTTCCTGGACCTGTGTTGTGTTGACAGGGAGCAGAAATCACTTTGTATTTTCTATTGAGGTATTTAACAAAAAATGTTCCATGTTCCTCAATGTCATATGTACAGTGCAGTTGTTCATTTTCATTGAAATTATTAACTGCCAATGAAAAGAACAACATAAACATGCTGGTGTTGAAAAGATTGTCGAGCACTAATCAACTTAACTAATAGAAAAAAATGATAGTGTTAGGATAAAGCCACTAATTGCTCTTTTGTACGGACATATTGACTGATCTGTTTCAGCTGGCATGTTGATAGAAGTTCAGTTGCCTCAAAAAAAAAATTAAATATACTTAAAAAATGTTTAAGGCTTATAACAGCTGAACAGAAAGCTGGACATGGAACAGTAAATCTTAGTCATCTCTTGTGCAAATCTTTCCAATTATTTAAATGAAGTCGACACTTTAAAATCTCCCTTTGCTTAAAAAAAAAAAGATTTATCCTGACTTATGTTTCTACCAATGCAAAACTATTAAGATCCATCACATTGTTACTTAAGTTCCAACTAAGCATCAACACAAGACTACGTTGTACAAAACTCTGTGAAATATTGCACTGATACTGCCTTTTTGTTTTTGTATTGCATAATAGTTTTCTGGTTAGCGCTGTTACGTCACAGCAAGAAGGTTGCACGTTTACCTCTTGGCCTTTCCGGGTGGAGTTTGCATTTCTCCCTGTACATGCGTGAATTTTCCCCAGGTTCTCCGATTTCCTCCCACAAACCAAAGGCATGCATGTTAACTGGTCTAAATTGTCCTTTGGTGTGGGTGAGAATGTGAATGGTTGTTTGTTTCATTTGTTTATATGTTTCTTAGTAATGAACGTGTGGCGTGCACAAGGTGTACCCCTCCGTTTGCTCTGGAGATGGGCACCAACTCCCCAGAAAAGGAAAAAGGCAAAGAAAACAGATGGATAAATAATAGTTTTCTGATTCTGGCTCTAGCTGTAAAGAGGGATGTTAATTCTAAAATACTTGTAAAGTCGAATTTTCCATCCATCCATTTTCTTTACTCACTTTTCCTTTCTGGGTCACGAGGCAGCTACTGCCTATGTCCAGTTGTCACTGCGAGAAACGAGGTAAACCCTGGACAGGTCACAAGTCTATCACAGGGCCACAGAAAGACTCACTCACACCAGGGACAGTTTAGAGTTACCAGTTAACGTGCAGGTTTCTGGTTTGTAGGAGGAAACCCGAGTACTTGGAGAACGCCCACAAATGCATGGGGAGAACATGCAGTCTCCACACAGAAAGGCCGGGAATTGAACCTGCGACCTTCTCGCTGTGAGGCGACAGCTCTAACAACTGTGCCGCCCTAAGTTCCATGTTTTATCAAATGTAATGGATTGGGGGGGGCTTGAAAATAGAGGTTTGCTCTAACAAAAGGTGCACAGGAGTGTGAGAGAATTGTTGATAAAAGCTGAAGTGAAGCATGAATAGATGTCAGACTTCCTCTGTGAACCACTGTTGGCTTTTCCTGAATCAATATCAGCGTAATGAAGAGCAAGAAGCTTCCAATGGACCAAGCAGCACTAACTTACCTGCCGAGGTTTCTGTCAGGTAAACTCTTTCTTCAACATTTTATGGTTTCATTCGTACGAATGGAAGTGACTTTTCTTTTTTTTGTTTTATTTGTGCTTTGTCATGTCTGGGAAGCAGCTCTCAGTTTCATGCTGAAGGATCAGACCAACTGGTGGGGAGCGCCTTCGTTGATTTGGTGGTTGAGGTGCCACAGACTGCAGCCGGACAAGGGCTGACTTTCATAGGTTATCAGGTACTAAGTTGTCATGAAGAGAGGGTCAATAAATAATTTTGTTTTTAAACAGATGGTCACTTGTTCTGTTCTGTTGCAGGATTCATCAACCATTGGAAATGTTCATACAGGTATTTGATTTTAGTGATTGTGAAATCCAAAGATTGCTTTTGGCACTGGCTTACAGACAGAAGTTGAACCATCATCTTATACTGAAGAGTCAGTGAAGATATAAAACAACTTGGAGAGGCATAAACAAATACTTGAATGTTTAACACTACACTTTGTATTTAGGCAAGCACCAAGCTCATAAAATATCTGATTTCACATTGTGTGTTTTTTATATTTAAAATTTTATACGGTTTTCTTAAAATCTGTAAGTTCTCTGGCTTCGATTAATCATCCTGTGTGTTGAAGGTGCCATTCCTCCTTGGCTCCAAGAAGATCCTTTAGAGGGCTCATCTGCAGCTGCTCCACAGACGGAGATCGGCCCGTCGCTCCAAGAGTTCCTCAAACACAGTATGAAGCGCATTATGTCCTATGAGTCACAAAACATTAAATTTATTATAACAGGGATATATTATCTAAGATGTTTACACAAATACAAGTGTTCTACTAATGCTATTACCTAAAACTAATCTTGAAACTTAAGATTGAATATGTTTTTCTGATTTCAAACTAAAGTCTGTCAGCATTTTACAAATAACTCGAGCAGCTGTGTATAAACAAGGGTGCTTTCTGTGTTTTGCCAGAGGAGCAGGAGAAGCTGAGGAAGCTTCCTCCGACCAGAGTAGGGGCCAACTTTGATCACAGCTCACAAACAGACGCCAACTGGCTGCCCTCGTTTGGAAGGGTTTGGAACAGTGGACGGCGCTGGCAGTCCAGGTCGGTTCACCCAAGTCTTTGGAATGGTTTTAAAAAACAGTTTGTAAGATTTTTATTTTTACTTTATTGTATAAAACTACAACAAATATATGGTATGTGGTGACTAAGAAAACAGCAAAATGTCTTGAAATTAGAAATAAGACAGAGCTGGAATATTTTGGTGTATGTTTAGTGAAAAACAAAAGATATTTACTGGAACAAAATAATATTTCCACTTGTCAGTTAAATTTATAAAATGTATTTCTCGTCCCTTCAACAGGCACCAGTTCAGACAAGAGGAAGGGCAGAAGAAAAGACAGAAGAGGAAGCGGCAGCAAAGCACAGAGGCCTCGAAGAAAACTAAAATGACTGAACAGCCGACAAATTCTGACGCACTGGACCTTAGGAGTGAAGGGTTGAATTAAATTTTATCCAGATTTTTGCTGTTATATTATATGTTCATGCTAATAAAACACACTGTATTGCTGAAAATATTTGAACATTTATGTTATTACAATAAATATAAACATTTGCATTGAAGGGGTTTGCTTGGTTGAACAAAAGGCAGCTGCTTGACATTCTTTTTTTAAGCAGGGCTCATTTGAAACCACTTTAGGCTCTTGCTTCAGAGTCAGAAATTTAAACCAAGTTTGTGCTGTCTCCTGTTTTGTCACTGAGCTGCAGCATTAGGTCAGTGGGTTCAAGTCATATTTACCAAATATTTGAACGTTTGAGAATTGTAGACCTGTTCTTTAAAGCGGCCAGCAGGGGGCGTAAGAAATCCAAAAGCTGCCATCAGAGATTAACGTGTATTTGTTTTGGATTACCATTTCTTTTTTGGTTATATAGAAAATAGATTTTTGTAATGCACACAAGAATATTAATCCAAGTGATTTTTTTTTTCTTTTTTGTTGACGATAAACTTGTACACTAAATAAACTTTCGTTTCTCTTTTTAGTTCATGATATTTAAAGATTTACTGGAAAAGTCCTGCAGATGCAAATGAACGAATACTTCCAAATAAGGAGTGTGAGCTACAAAGGTTATAAATGTGTTGAAATTAAGACATTTTGTTTTGATAGCTAAAGCATTTCAAGTCTTATCAAAACAAATGGATTAAACTTAGTTGTAAAATGTTTTTAAGTTGTGAAAAGATCTCTTCAAAGCCTAATGAAACATGGTCAGGTTAGAAAAAAAATCCGATAATGGGATGTCTTAAGTAAAATGAACTGGACTACAGGATTGGATACTCTTTGTCGCATGCAAAAAAATGGTTTGTGATTTAGCACTTGTTGAAATGGTTATTTTTATTCCTGTAAGGTTGTCTTTTGTGAGCAAGCATGCTTATTTAGTGCTTGTCTTGAAACTGCCAGTAAATTATTTCAAGCAGGCATTCTTTCACTGAATAAAGAGTCACTTCATAAGTGCTGTAGTTTAAAAATGCGATTCAGACTGCGGTTGTTCTGCGAAATGGAGTATAACCAAAGATGAATGAATTGCCAAGAGCAGTAAATGTGTAAGGTCCTATATTTCACTCCCATGTGCTCACAGGCCCTTTTATCTTTTCAGGCCTCCTCTACATGGTAGTGTAATAAGGCCTTGTGTGCTGTGGGTAGATGGGTGTGGAGTCAGTGCAGCTGCAAGCCAGTATAGGGATTCAACGTGTAGCTGAGCTATTCTTAGCCCTGACATGGCTCTCATTTATTCAGTGCAAACAGGAGACGGGGATTGCCTTATAGTTTTTTTTATGTCATGCTACTGTCGGTCAGTGTGGGCTTAAAATGTATTATATTTTCATAACAAGTGCTCTAATTTTGCATAGCTTAATGGTAAATATTCAAGGATATGGTTGTGTGAACGTCAGCTCAAAAAGCTGTCCCTGGTCCCAAAGTCTGGGGGGTAGAAAAGCACGTGTACTGGGTGGACCTTGAAGTAATCCATAAGCCTATAGCGGAGCAGAGTTTTTGAATGCAATCTGCATGATTTAAAACGGTCCAGGTTTCTGGATGCTGATTGGTTAAGAGGAAAAGCAACAGCCAATGGTATAAAGTGTTAGTACCCAGCTGGCATCTAAGTCCCGCCCCCCCTACGTAGTTGTCAGCAAACCCCGGAAACGTCTCTTAAAGGGACACGGCGAATTTTATGTAAAAGGTTCCAACAACGACAGCTGCGAACACAGAAAAGAGACACATTGAGGAGGAAAGGACGCCAGCCAAGAACCAAGCTTTGTAGCAGGATAGAGCAAGAAGACGGAACTGAAAGTACCCGAGCCTTTTAACCATCTTATACGCAGCTAATGTTGCTAACTTCTGTGTTCAGTCTTCTGCTGTTAGCCACCTGGAAACCGACAACGTAGCAGTCAACACGACAGATAAAAAAAAAAAAAGGCCAAACTCCGAAACGACAGGGACGCGTCAGTTCTGGCTTCCCTCTGAGTTCATCTTTCTTTGTGAGGTTTGTGACCAGCATTTACATACTTGCTTTGGTCTATTTGTGTTTTTATTGTTATGCAGTTGTGAACTTGTACTGTGGAGAAATGGGACAAAAGCTCGGCTCACTTCCGAACGCCTTAAGAGAAAATGCTCATCCTAAAGCATGCAGGTGGTTGCAGTCATCCTTTTTCCACATTTGTGAGTGGGAACAAGCAATGGCTGGAAACTAACCTGAGACAGCTGATGACCTGACAGTAGCTTGTACAATTAAAGGGGGCGTTCCCTGCTTTGTCTGCCTTTATTCTCACTTTTTCATGTGTTTGCATGCAGACTGCGGTGGGAAGAGAAATGGTCAAAGAAATCCCAATGTTTTAATCATCTTCATTGCTTCACATGTGTATGGCATGAAAATGCATATGATTTCAAACATTATAATTTTGCATTTTCTTGGGGTTGCACATCTATGTGCAAATTAAAAAAAAAAAAATCAACAAGCAGTGCTATTAAATGCAAGATTATGACTTGGGTTAAACATTTGGGATAATGATCAGCAAAAGCTTACTGGAGGGAGACTAGCATTGCAGTGTGTATTGTTCCCTTGGATTGCACTTGGGAGTTGCATTGCATCATGCAGTGTGCAGGCCAGGACAATGATGTTGGCACTGAACCCTGGTTACAATATTTGTAAAGTCTTTAATTTGTCTGCATTTTATTGCATTTGGTATTTTGCTTTTCTTGCAACACAGTGATTCCTATTGTCCAGATAAGCATGGTCTGGTGGCATTGATATGCACATTATATTATGCAGTCTCACTGCATCACCCATACACGTGCATATGGGATTCCTGCAGCTGCCTCACATGTATATAAATAGAGACATTTTGCATGCACATACACATGCACTGTACATATCCTCACTGCAGTAGCAAAGTACATGCATTGCTCTTAGATCCCACCCCCACCTCTCTGTCTGGGAGAAAGCAGTGGGCTTTGTCCTCAGCTGAGTGTGACGTCATGCAGATATTTGCTGTAATCAGCCCTGAAGGCAGTGTACATGTTGTTCAGGAGACCTGGGTCTGGGCTTGTCATACGTACTAACACACTTGGACTCGGGTTCCCAGCACACAGGGAAATAAGCTTTTCTAAGTATTGCAGTATGTTCAGGTGAGGCAGTGGATTCTCGAAAATCCCTTTTCATTTAAAAAAAGAACAAAGAAATAAGAGATCAAACATGACAAAGGTAAAAGCAGAAAAGGAACAGCAACTTCAGGAATCCCCAGCAATGAACACTCTGTTTTCCTATTTTAATATGCATATTTTCTGCTTCTCTGACCCTCTCAACAACATACTAAGTGAACAAGAGAAGTCATATCTAGTTGGGTGTCCATACTCTCATTTTAAAGTATGGAATGAACATTGTGTAATTTATAAATTGGATATTATATAGTTAACACTCAAGAGTTGTAACTTTTTATTCTACATTGTGTAAAAGCATTCCACACCTTGCATGCAGTTCAGATACACTTTTATTCATAGGTAGGTCATCTGATAATGTGCAACACTTAAGGGACATCATTTATCCTTTTGTCCTCTGTGTGTCCAGCCTGTTTTTTTTTTTTTGTTTTTTTTTTACAAATGGACTGCACTACCTTTTTATTGCTTATGGTTTATGGATTGTATGGTTACAGCCTATCACTGTAATTCTCATTGTTTGTTTTTACCTGGCAGTGTTCTGCCTGTTTCAGGAAAGTGGTGGTGGTTTGATTATATTCTATGAGCTGGTGAGAGCTTGTTGTAAGCCTTCCAATGTGCCTCTGCAGGATTTGATGTCAGAGATTACAGATGATTATGTAGGTTAGATCCAGTGGTCATCACGTCTCTGAGGCTGTATTGATCTCTAAGGGCGTATGTGTGACTGCGTACGAGTGCAAACAAGTATTACAAGAACTCCAGTCCAGCTAAAACACAGAAAAAAATAAATACAAGGATTGTGCTTAAAGATACAAGAAGCAAAATAAAATATTTGTTTTCAAAAGCATGCAAAAGTGATGTTAAACTCATATTTTAACACACAACTTTTGTTCTGTACTAATATTCATTGTAGACTTACAGAGAAAATCTTAAAAAAAAAAATATATATATATATACTAACTCACTTTGCTTCATTTGAGTTTATATTTTTGTATATAAATCTTAATGTGCATCCAGTGATGTGTGAAACTCAAGGTCCTTCTTTGCAACTACCGTTACTCATTTTCTGCTGTACTGAGCAAAAGCCTATTTATTTCAAATTATGTATTTATTTTAGTGTTGGAAAGCCAAACATAGTAATGCTCAATAAACTCACTCACCTTAGATGGAGGCTGAGATAAAGGAGCAAAACTGAGAAGGGAGCTTAAACTTTATCTGAATGTCCTCATACTTTGTGTTGTGGAGATCTTTCTGTCCTGAGCTTCCATATGAGACGGCATGTACAAAACTTTGATTGGTCCCTTTTTAAAATGTTCTAACAGTCCCTGTGAGGCTCTGTAACCAAATTTATGAGCATGCCACCACCATTGAAGGTGTTTAACTATTAAACTGCATTTGTAAGTATTCAGAAACATATTTTAGCTCAAATCTAACCACTGGCTTGCTAGAAAAACCCAGCTTTGTAAAAACGACACTTGTTACTAATCTAAATAAATAATTTCAAAAAGAAATTTCCCTGCATGCGTAATCATGATCTCTCAGCATTGTCTCACTGAGGTTAGTTGAAATACTTTTTACAGTGAAATGAAGGAAATGGATGTGTCATCATAGACGCTTGAACTGATTAAGTGCCATGAAACTGCTTTAGTGGTTTTGAGTCTTCAACAGTTTTGACCTAATTTTGCAAACTACAAAAATGAGATATTTTGGGGTTTTTTTTTCATGTTGGGTTTTTAATTCTGTTGATATATGATCAGAATCCAGCTATTTATTCCACGTTTTTCTTTGAAGTTTATGCTAAGGAGCTCAAATCGACTTTACAGTCTTCACAGATGGATTAGTACATGAGTTCAGACCACTTCACTCTGATCTTACTGCCATTTAATGTGTTGCTATGCATTGATCCTGTGAAAGGTAGATGGTTTGTTTGGATTCTGGTGTTGGTTAGATGAACATAAAGGCAATGAATGAAAGAGGACAAAAAAAAAAAAAATTGCTAACACTAAGTATAGTATATATTTAGAAGCCCAACTTTGTGTTTCAGCATACATTATTTGGAGGATTTATAAAGTAGCAGAAAACTAGGAAAATCCTAAACATGCAAATTTGGCTTTCCATAAATTGCTTTTTTCGTGATTTTGGTTGAAAGTTGAGCGAACACTGTTGTATTTTTAACACATTATTTTGATATTTTATGTTCTGTGCAGCTGTCCATCCCAACTTTGTATAGTAATTGTAAAATATATATTTTATTATTAACTTAAATTAAAGTTTTGAACTTGGGTGATAACAGAAGAAGAAAGAGAAGAGAAGAGCACAATGACTGAACCCACTGTTTAATTAATCAACACAGTTTTCCATTACACCCTGAGAATCAAAGCTCTGTGATACCAGTTATCTAGCTGGTCTCAATTGTTTTCTACAGTACTTTAGTTTGAACACGTTCCATTTGTTGTTACTGAACAATTAGCAATGGTTTTATGACATTCACTTCCATGAAATGTTCAGTATTTTTTAAAGTGCTTTGTTCTGTAGATATATATATATACATATATATACATACATACACAAACATATGTATATATTCTGTTGAGTTTTAAAGTTTTTTTTTTTTAACGAGATAGTATAAAGGTTAAAAAAATATAGGGCTTAACATTTGTTCATTGCAGTTGTTTATGAAGTAACTCTAAAGAAGCATGTAAATTCTTGAAACATCACTGGGTATATTTGTTCATCCATATGTTAATTACTGCATCACGTTAGTGTGTTATGGTAAATGCTTCTCTGTGTTTCTGGCTGGTCCTCTCTTGGTGTCTCATCAGAGAGGCAGGAAACAGCTTTGTTTTCCAAACTGCAGTCATCTGAATCCTTTGCAGTATCCCTTTTATTTATGGCTTGACGTAACACGCCGAGGACATGCAGGCACCAGTCAGGCTTGAAGAAGAGAAATACAGGAAATGTAAGGAAAATGTGCAAGAGAATGATTTGCAGCAAAGGTTGAGATGGGCTCAAGTCAAACTGACTCAGCTCTTTATGCTTTTATTCAACTGCATCTTACAAAATTGTCTTCAGTGTACAACGCATGCTTACCATCAAGGTGAACAAAATATTCAGTTATAAGTCTACAAATAGTATACGTGTGATGCAACATTTTCCAAGGTTACCTGGCTGCAATTTCTATACATTTTTTGTACATGTTCAGTATATTCAAGTAAAGGTTATCGTTTTTACAGATATTATAAAGTAAGCAACACATTAAAACAGTTTTAAATAGTTGAATATGTTGGGGTGTTTGTGTTTTGTGTGTGCTTATTTTGACCCATTAGATTGGAAATGGAGGCCTGATTTGATGACTAAATTGTATTTTGTGAACACACTGAACATAATGTAGGGGGCTGCAGTACTTTGGTGGCTGGTGTCGCGGTCTTGTAATCCTGTGGTTACAGGTTCAAGCCCTGGTTGCATCAGGAAGGGCATCCAGTGAAAAACAAACTGCCAAATCTTTCATGCAAGTTTGCTCACTGTGGTGACCCCTGAAGAATTGAGCAGCAGAATGAAACTTTTTATACTGAACATAATGTGATTTCTGGGTTTTTAAGTTGCAAGTTTACATGAAATGAAAAAACAGTGGGTTGTGAGTATGGGTTAGGTGTTGGAATGGGCTGTGTACAATAAATAAAAGTCTGTTCAATGACCTAGGAAGAATATTTGCACAAGCATGTACTGTATATACTAAGTTTCTTTCGGCTGCTCCCTTCTTCAGGGGTCACCACAGCAAGCGAACTCGCATGAAAGATTTGTAATTTGTTTTACACCGGATGCCCTTCCTGA